CATGCCCCTTTTAACTTATAATTTATTTAAATTAATTATGAACATTTGTTTAACCTCAAAAGTACAGTTTTTTTAATTAAATGTTGCTAAAACAGCAAGTTTCTCAGTGGATCTGTGCTCAAAAGTGCAGCCTAGGTGGAGTAGTCGAACACAGATCCACTAAGATAGGCCTAGTGACGCCACTGGTGTTTAAACTTGCTAGCACGCTGCTATTAATGTTGCAGGAAAAACGTGGACTGGATTTCATGTGGTGTGGGATTACTCTATATGAACAAGTGGAATGGACTGAATAACGACGCACCAAAGAGGATCTCTACCTTACACTATAAATTAAAGGGAAACTGACAGACTTATGATCGTATATTTTAGTTAATAATGAAATATTAAATGGTTATTTATTCTGACCACATCATATTGAATTACACCAAAATAATTTAGGGGGGCTTTAAAATATTTTAGGGGGGCTCCAGCCCCCCTAAAATAAGGCCTAGTGACGCCACTGGAAAAAAGCAGCCCAAATTTTAAAAACCTGCCCAAAGCATTTTTCCCCCAGTCCAGCAAGTTCAAAAGAAGCCCAATTGGGCAGAAACCAGTCCCATCTGGCAACACACATGTGAACAAAACGTATGACAGCTTTCACCCTCAACTGTAAATAACAATGTTGATCAATAACATTTGAAGACCTCAGTGTTTCTAAATTTAGCCCATAAATCTATCAAGTGCTAATCCACTAATGAATTAAAAAAAATTGCAAAAGCCCTAAAGCAATAATCAAGAAATTAGTTCCCGTGCCCACCACTGATTTTTAATAAATAATGATCCCACATTATAATAAAGTATATGTAAATGACAAAAACAGTATGATGGTCAAAAAAACAGAAACAAAACTGGAGCATACATGACTTTTTTTATATAAATACTTGTGAATGCAGCAGCAGCGCTCAGTCACTTCTATCTCTTTAATTTCCGACAGCACTTGAAGGCAGCAGGATGGCTCGAAAAGTCACAAAGCTCTTTTGTCCCCTTCAGGTTTTTATTAAAAGGACATGGAAATGAATTGAACTAGTCCCACTTTTTTATTTAAAGACAACTTTTTTAAAACACAAAACTTAGAAAATGTTAAGAATAAACTTTAAACTTTGTTTACAACTAGTTTGTTTGAGCTAATCTGTGTTTGATACAAAGAAATTTGAATCCGCTACCAAGAAAAAAGAAGAAGAAGAAGAAGAAGAACGTGAGCAGGGAGGAGGAGGTGGGCACAAACAGATGAAAAAACGCTCATTCCGGTTGTTTCCATTAGATGAACGTGTCAAGGGGAGAAGAGGGGGCTGGAAATTCCTCAGGAGCTGCAGGCTGAGGAGGAGGGGGGGACTTCCTACTTCCTCCCATCTTTTCTGCACGTTATAACTCAGATTTACAGGGGGAAAACTGCACTCTGCGGCCGCGGAGTCAAACAAAGTTTTTCGGACACTTTTTTTTCCCCAGGATTTCTCGACACACCGAGGAGGGGGAAGTTAGCGGGTCCAGACCGGCGGGACAGGAAAAAAAAAAAAACACTAAAAACATGTTGGACTGAGTTCAGAACCGGGAGAAGAAACGGAACTTACAGAAGGTAAAAAAGTGTTGCGTTTACGGACATCCACGTCTCAGAGAGTTGTCTCGTTAGCCTCAGCAGCTAACTGTGTCTCTGGACGTGTGTAGGACCACAGCACGGTGTGTGGACTTCACACAGGACGCTCTGTCATGTCTGTCATGTCCTGATGAAGTTGCTGGCGGCCTGTTGTCAGATATAACCCGCTTTCAGCAGCTCCTCCAACGGTTCAGACGGAGGAGGGCGGGCTGTGGGACAGCTCAGACAGGGTTTAGTCTGTTTCTGTGCGCGTGTGTCTTTAAAAAATACCTGGATTTGTTTCCTTTGATCTTCCTGTCGGAGTGATTGATCTGTTTCACCTCATCAATCAGCAGCTATAAGTTCTGCTGTCTGAAATGACCCGCATCAAGTACAACAACGCAGCTTTACAGGACATTAACCC